AAAATGGCCTGGCATTGTAGTGGGTACCTGTAGTTCCAGCTACGTGGGAGGCTGAGGCAACAGGATCACTTGAGCCCAAGTGTTTGAGGTTGCTGTGAGCTATGATACCACAGCACTTTACCTAGGGTGACAGAATGAGACTGTCTCAAAAAAAAAAATATGTACTTGGGGTGGAACACCCAGGGCAATGTTTCTAGAACTTTCTATAGTTAGGAGGAATAAACTTTAGTGACCTAGTACACAGAATGGTGAATATAATAAATGGTAACATAGGCTGGGCCCGGTGGCTAGCGCCTGTAATCCCAGCACTTTGAGAGGCCAAGGCAGGTAGACTGGCTGAGCTCAGGACTTCGAGACCAGGCCCAGCAAGACTGAGACCCCCCTCCTCAGTAAAAAAAAAAAAAAAAAAGCCAGGGGTTGTGGCAGTCACCTTGGGAGGCTGAAGCAAGAGGATCACTTTAGCCTAAGAGTTTGAGGTTGCTGTGAGCTATGATGCCATAGTACTATACCCAGGACCACAAAGTGAGACTCTGTCTCAAAACAAATAATGCTCGGTGCCTGTAGCTCAGTGGCTAGGGCGCCAGCCACATACACTAGAGCTGGTGGGTTTGAATCCAGCCCCGGCCTGCCAAACAACAATAACAACTGCAACAAAAAATAGCCAGGTGTTGTGGAGGCGCCTGTAGTCTCAGCTACTTGAGAGGCTGAGGCAAGAGAATAGCTTAAACCTAAGAGTTTGAGGCACCTGTGAGCTGTGACACCATGGCAGTCTACCCAGGGCAACATAGTGAGACTGTATCAAAAAAAAAAAAAAGAAAGAAAGAAAGAAAAAGAGAAAACAACAACCAAAACAATAAATGGTAATAGATTGTATATTTCAAAATTGTTAAACAAGCAAATTTTAAATGTTTTCCCACAAAAATAAGGATGGGAGGTGATAAATGTATTAATTAGCTTGATTTAATCATTCCACTATGTAAACAAGTATCAAAGTATTACATCGTGCCCCATAAATATATGTTTATATCAACTAAAAATAAAATTTTTAAAAAGACTCTGAATGTGAAGCCTTCTCAGCACTGCTGATGGATTGGGACAAGCCAAGAAGAGCTTCTTATTATTTTTTGTTTGACAAATATTTATTTACTACGCCCCAGTGAGCCTAAACCCAAGCCTCACGGATTCTGGTCTATGTCATTTCCTTTATTCACTGTCACCAATGCAGAGTTCATGCTGCTTAACATCAACAGCTAGCATGGCAGGGTAAGTTGGCCTTATAGAAATCCAGAGAGACACCCAACAAAGGTTCAGTATTAACGCATTCATAAATAGAAAACAATTACTTCACTTTACCTAATAAAGTATCATAAAAGTAAATGAAAACAAAGTACAATATGTTTTCTATTATAATAATTTTCCTTCAACTCCCTCTCACACAATTACATTAAATTTAAATTGCATTAAATATTTTAAGAGAAATTACTTAGAATTCTACACTAAAACAATTCTTTTCATTTGTAGTGCTCTTCTTCTACCATTTATTTTTCCCTAGATGCAGGGTTTTTTTTCCTATTTAGATGAGTAATGTGTGTCCATTGGAGAAATTTTTTAATAGGGCAAGATATGAAGAATAAAATAACCATCATCCATACACCAGTACCAAGAGACAAGAGCTATTAATATTGTGGCATATTTTCTTCTGTTCTTAACAATTTAAATGAAAATAATTTGACCAGAAACAAAACTACTGCTCTTAATGCTCCTGTTTTGCTTATATCATTTTCAGATTTTTCTATAACAAGCTTTGTTTTTGTAATAGGAAAAAACAAACAATAAAAGAAAGTATGTATCAAAGAGCAGGATCTGTATGTCTGTTTCATCCAGCTATCTCCACTTCCCAGTACATCAAGTACTCCAAAGATTTGTGTTGTTTTTTTTTTTTTTAATGGCTAAGATTTTTCATCCCCAAACTAGTGAGACACAGTTGCTAATGAACATGGACTCACTCCGCAGGGATGTCTGGGTATTATTTCTCTCTCTGATTTCTTTTAATAAGCGCTTCATTCTGCCACATACGATCACTTTTGCTGTCTTAATACCAGTCTTGGAATTCAAGACTGATTCAATTCCAATTCCAATAACAACACCCGTAGCTGTGTGACCTTGGCAAAAAACTTCACCACTCTTTGCCTCAGTTTCCTCACATGGTGAGCACTGGTCCAGGTGCTAGGGGCACCACAAAATAAAGATTCTGTCACCAAATTTACATTCTAGTGTAGGGAGAAAGTCTGTGAACAAACATTTGTGTGGTGGCTATAAGGGCTATGAAATAATAAAGAAAATAAAGGGGATAGGAAGTGGTTACCTGTGGGGGGAGAATGGTTGCTATTTTACAACGGGTAGTCCAGGATAGCTAAAGGTTTAAAAAATATCCTAGTGTAGTGTTTTTCAAACTTCAAGTTGTGAATAAGGCGATCTTCATTTTCAAAAAAATGAATAACATTCATGCCTGTTTGTGCCTTACTCAATTAGGTGAGGAGACACAAAAAAGACAACTGCAGAAAAAGTGCCAGAAAAGATTAGGACCAGAGCTAAGAGGTTGGGAAGAACACAAAACAAAACTGAAGAGTTAAGCAATCCAAAAAAGAAAACTGGCATAGCTTTTTCATACCAAAAAAAAGGACCTAATAGGAAAAAGGCAAAAAGGTTTTTAAAAAGAACAGATTCAATTCAACAGCAATAGAAAAAAATCCAAATATAACGAAACATGCTGTACGTGATACTTTCAGATTAAGTGTAGGATGATGTGTTAATATTCCCAGAAATTCACCAAATATATGCTCCACACTTCCTTCTCTGACCCTCAGCCCCTGCTAGACAGTATAAATATTTTAAAGCCGTGTCATCTGGGAAGATTTCTTTTCTCAATCTTTTAAACTTTTATTTTATTTCATTTCATTTTTTGAGACAGTCTCGCTCTGTTGCGCTGGGGTTGAATGCCCCAGCGTCATCATAGCTCACAGCAACCACAAACTCTTAGGTTCAAGCAATCCTCCTGCTTCAGTTTTTGTGTTTTTAGTAGAGCTAGGGTCTCGTTTTTTCCTCAGGTTGGTCTCTAACTCCTGAGCTGAAGCCATCAGCTCTCTTGGCCTCCCAGAATGCTAGGATTACAGGCATGAGGTCATCGCTCCTGGATCTTAAACATTTATTTTAGTAGGTTTTGAAATTTATATCTCCCGATCAGAAATGACTAAATTGTACTAAAGAGACAGATTTTTTTTTTTTGATGCGCACATCAGGTTCCCACTGAAGCAGAGCAGTGAGACACAATTATTCTAGAACAAAGTGAGCAAACTGTACAGTCCTCCTGGCTAAATCAAACCCACCTAGTGTTTCTGTATGGCCCTCAAGTTAACAATGGTTTTTCCACTTTCAAGGTTGAAAAAAATCTGAAGACCATTTTGTGACCCATGAAAACTATATGAAGCTCAAGTTTCAGTGAGTGTCTATAGTTTTATTGAAACACAACCAAATTTATCCATTGCTTTTGTGCTGCAACACCGCAGAGTCCAGTAGTTAACCCCAAAGCCTAAAATACTTATTCTCTGGCTCCTCTTAGAAACTGTTTGGCAACCAGTGCTCTAGAATAGGAAGGCGGTACTCCTTCAACACCCTTCCAACCCTCTTCCTACTCCAGCCACCCCCTCAGCTTTAGTCACCACCAAGATTCCTGGACCTGACATGGAAGGATGGTGTTATAATAATGGATTGTATCCTATCGGACGCCAGAGACACGAGACAATGAAGTTCTACATAAGGGAAGGTGACTGGTTCTGTCACTGCCTAGAGTAACGTCGAGGTTTGCCTCCGGATCAGGAAAATGGGCAACACAGCGGCATCTGCGTGATTGCGTTTGAGCATAAAGGCGCTTGGAAAGGCATCAGGGCAGCAAATGTTCGGGAGTGCTTTTGCAAGGGGAGCCTCTCTCGGAGTCTGGGCGTAGATTGCGGTTCCCTTTGCACTAGACACCTCGGCCGCCTTCCCCCACCCCAACCCCCACTGCTCCTACCCTTCGTTTCTTCACTGCATTCCCCTTTTGGCCTTGCAGCCTGCTTTCTCCTCACCGCCGCCAGCCACCACACACACACACACACACACACACACACACGCACACGCACACACGCCTGCCTCAGGGCAGAGCAGGGCTCAAGTCAGCTGGCCCGGGTCAGCCCAGCCCAGCTCTATCCAGATTTGCCTGCTTAGGGTGGGGTCGCCCTGGGACCCCAGCAGGTGACAGGAATGACTCAGCAGGGGCCGGGGTTGGGACCAGTTAGGAACGCCAGTGCAGGAATAAAATCCCCTGCAGGAGGAAGAGACAGCAAATCATCTTTTTAAGGTCCCAAACATGCGAACGAGAGAAAATGTAATTCAAGTCAGCTTTGGCCCGTCAGCGGCCTGTGCCGCCACAGGCTGCGTGTTTAGCCTAACAGGGAGGCCCAGCGGCTGCTGCAGGCAGAAAACGCCCGCGGCCTCCACAGAAGTCGCCTTCGCTTCCTATAAACCCCACCTCTGTCAGACCGGGCCCCAGGAAAGGCCAGTCGGCTGGAGGGGAGACTTTCAGGGATGCAGAGAATTGCGTGTCCGTGATTATCAGGGAGACTTTGAGTGCACAGTAATCTCTCAAAAATAGGAACCATTTTCCACTCTCGCTCTGAGGTTTTGCTTGGCTAAGCGGTGGCAGCCTCCCTGCCCCCCTTTCTCCCCCCACCAGCTCGGCCGCTTCAAGCAACCACGCCCCGCGGGCCCCAAGGCTCGCCGCCACGGGGCTCGCGGCCCCCGCTCAGCCCGCACGCCGCGCCTCCATTCGCCCCGCCTCCGCGCACCACCATCCGCCCCCGCGGCCAGGCCTGGGAGCGCCGGGCTAGTCCTCGCGCATGCGCCCTGCAAACTTCCTGCCGCCGAACGCCCTGCCTACCCCCAGAAGTCCGCCTCCAAACGCCGCGTGAGACCCGCCCGCCTCTCGTCATTGGTCGAGACTCCTGAGCCGTTGGCTCCCAGGCCCGCCTCTCCACCGCCTCTCACTTTTCCCAGGGCGGATGCGCCTGCGCTCAGCTGCCTGGGCGGGCTGGGAGGCGCGGGTTGAAAAGTCTCGTTCCAAGTTTGGAGAGAGAGAGAAGAGCGTCTCAGACCTCGGTACCCGCGAGCGGGGAGGAGGCAGCAAAGAAAGACGCGGTGTCTGGGGAGTCCCCAGGCCGCAAGCCGGAGCTCAGGCTTCGACAATTAGGAGAGTGTGACGTGCCTGGGAAAGGCAGGAGCGCCAGCGGTCCGGCTACTCTATTGAGGGGAGTCCGAGGCGGCGACGAGGGGCGAACAACCCGACGCAAGATGGCGAGTAAAGAGAGTAAGAGGCCCTGCGGGGCGGCGCGCGCCGGGACCGCGGGGGGCGGCGGGCGCGCGAGGCCGCGGCACGCGCCGGCGAAAGGCGCGA